GGGAAACGCAAATTAACCATGCAGCCCCGCTGCCCCACTACAGCTGGCTTGCCGAATCGCCTCAGTTCAGACGCCATTCCCTTCCGGACGCCAACTTATATACAATTAGGTACTGCCCCGCCCTGGACTACAATGACCCAATAGGGCGTGAGAAAAGCCAAAATACTCACGCCGCTACATGAGTGACAGCAGCTCCTGACAGACCATAAATGTTAAATGTAGACTCTAAATGTTGAGAAGATATGCAAAGTCCCCACGCCCATCTGCATAGAAATGGGCAGTAATGACGAAAATTTAAGGCCAATTTATACGATACTACTGATCCCTCTCCCGCCTCAAAATACATTCATAACTTATTGATGTCACAGTGTAAGGTGTAAATTAGGGGCGGGACTAACTGAGTTATATTGAAGGTGAGTCCAGCTCAGTACTCAGTGTGCTTCAAGCTCTGATTTGGATTTCTTCTCTGCTAGTAAGGTAGGACTCTGTCTTTGTTTACTTTCTGTCTTGGACTCAGTTGAAACTGNTAGGACTCTGTCTTTGTTTACTTTCTGTCTTGGACTCAGTTGAAACTGTTGTAGTGTCTGCTAGTTTCTGTTAATCAGTAGTTTCAGGTAGCCAATCAAGTGTAGGTCTGGGTCTGTTACTACTCGTTCAATCCTTCCTTTCTTTTCTATTCTATTCTCAATTTTGCGAACTCACACCATCACTGCAGACATGTGCCTCAGACCTATCCCAGTCCACTTATCTCAGATCTAGAAGATCCCATCCAACATCCAGGCGCTGCACATCCAGTAATCTTATCTACCCTCCCCTGTCATCCCAGTCCCAACGTCGGGTGTTGGGCGGCCTCTGGAATTGCCAGTCTGCTGTAAAGAAGGCTGATTTAATTTCCGCCCTTACTTCCCACCATTCTCTTGACTTTCTGGCTCTAACTGAGACCTGGATATCCCCAGAGAACTCGGCTACACCAGCTGCTCTCTCCTCTGCTTATGCTTTCTCTCACTCTCCACGCCAGACTGGCAGGGGCGGTGGCACAGGTCTGTTACTCCCTCGTAACTGGTGCTTCACACCCCTCTCTCTCCCCCAGCTCAACATTTCATCCTTTGAATTCCATGGAGTTGCAGTTTCCTCTCCATTCAATATTCTTATCATTGTTGTATACCGCCCTCCTGGCCCCCTAGGCCACTTTCTAGAGGAGCTGGATACTCTCCTCAGTCTATTCCCCACTGACTGCTCCTCTCCCGTCACTCGAGCCCCTCCTCCAGCTCCACTAAGGAGGGAGGAGCGGGGGTTAGGCCATCTGGGACCTCCCCAGGGACAGGAACTGGGGCCATGATAACCACGGACATGGGAGCAGGGTCAGGAACAAGGGAGACAGGAACGTGGGGGGCTAGAACCGGGGAGACTGAAACAGGAGGGTCCGGAGCCAAGGAGGCTACAGCTGAGGGGTCATGAACCAGGAATGGTGGAGCCAGGGCTGCCGGGATGGGAACCCGGACGGGAACCCGGACGGGAACCCGGCTCATCCTGGCAGCAAAATAAAAGAAAAAAAAAGAAAGCATTTATTCCTGTTGTACACTAATGAGGACATGCTGTGACATTAAAAATAAAAATAAATTTGAAAAAAATCTAAAATGCTCCCCTTTTTAACTGTGAAGTATGGTCTTTCATCCCGCCGGATAGCCTGAATCCATTTACGTCGAATTTCACCATTAACAGGGAAGGAATGAAAAGATAGATGTGGCTGCTTTTGGGCATTACAAGCACAGCCCGGTACACTGCAAGAAGAAGAGGTCACTGCTTGCACCATTTTTTTAAAACCGGCGGAAGTAAACGTATTTCCTACGATTACGTATTTCCGGTCAAAATTTGCGGAAGTTGTGAAAAAGGTCTATACAAAATCAAAATAAACAGTGTATTAATTCAGCATTTTGGGGTGATTAGTAAGAATGTCAAAACAGAAACAACCCTGCCAGAGTAATGGAGAGGGACGGAGGGAGAGAATGAGTTACGAGCTGCAGACAGTGGTTTTATTTCACTGTGGATAAAAAGCAAGTTAGCTGAATAATGCTCAGCTTTTTTGTTCAAGTGATGTGTTATTCTCGATGGGGTGTGTGTGAGAAGCAGAAAGGTGTTACCTGTGTCCCTTCACTTTGTGATTTTGTTTTTTGTTTGTTATGATTAGGCTACTAAACTTTGGTCAGTTGGCTGCCGTGAGATTTTCAACTCAAGATCAGTTTGCATACATGTGCGTGACAGTTTTATTATCTTGTAAATAGTCCTGTAAGGAAAAGTAGTAAAGATGCCCCAATGTTCTGGGTTGATCATTTGAATACAGGCAGGGTTATCAAATTATGATCATGGGGGAAGTGAGGAAGAGAGTGAGGAAGTCAGCACCAGGGTGATAAGGAAGTAATTGAATTACAATCGTCAGAAAGTCTTGTCCTCTCCTGCCCCATCCCTGCCTCAGGATCCTCACACTCCAGGAGATCAGCAATATGCAAATTTACTCACCACACCTACACACAGCACCTTGTTGGGGGGCCCTTTGGGGAAAAAAAGGGGGGGAAAAAACGAACCTAAATCCGAATTGAACCGCCCTTCAAGAACCCAGGGAAGGCCAAAACGGAATAAAATAAAATAATTTTTACTGTTCAATAAACCACCATTTGGCTGAAACAAGACTCTACAAGTGGACTCCTTACAGTCTGTTGCAAATGACCCCAGTTCTTTTGATGTAGGTAATTATAGGTTTATAATGGAATGGTATAGATTTGCCACAAGATTTCTTGCATGAGAGAAAGTGTGTCACACCAGATGCCTGAGAGTTGGCAACCTTGTAATAGTAGAATGTTTTTCACAGTAACTCTGTTACTGACCGCGCTTCCACGCACTTATACGTATGTGCATGCATGTGACTTGGGAAGTCGTGGTGCACATCAGAAAATAGGGCTCCTCCGAATGTGAATTAATCTGGTTGGCAAGCTTTACCACTGGTAATTACAAAAACCATCAAGTATCATAATGACCTTAATGGAGCCTTAAACAAAACCAAACTGTGAGTGTTTATTCAGAATAATGAGATAATTATGTACATTATGACATTGTGAAGAACACAACAAAGACAAAGATGATCACCAATAATACATACATAATTACAAATGACTTCTAGAAGGTCATCCTGAAGGTATTCACATTTGAGTGATTCAATGAGTTTCAACAGAAAACTCATCTCATATTAGGGCTGTGCGATATGACCAAAATTTCATATCACGATAATGATATATATTAAGGCTGCACATCATATTTATGAATTTTTTCTATAGACTAGCTGCTAGATCCACAAATAAAAAGGAGCAATTGAGGTCACAAATGTACCATGATCCAGAAATAGACAGTAAGTGATTAACAAATGTGCAAAATCCATTATAGGTGTACAAATCATTCTATATTATTGTGAATATGATTTTACACAACACAAATAAACATTCATATTTGTGGGTAGTGAGGTATTTGTGATTTTTTTCTACAGATCAGCTGCGGTATACGGAGCCCCTAAGAGGTCTGGGTGGGAAAATATTTTTTTAAATAGCTTTGAGTTCCCTCACAATAGTTTTGCATTTCCTTTTAATACACTTTTCCGTTATTGATAATAACTGTACTGTGTCCATTTAAAGTACAAAAGATGGAATGAATGCACTAATAAGTATACTATAATACTAAACAATACAGACATGTGCAGTTAAGTGTGCTTTAAGCATTAAACTATGGGGGACAATGCACACCATGTATCTTTCATATGTGTGTTTTAATATGTATTTATTAATAATGTGCCCATTCACCACCAGTGACATTAAGCAAGACAGCTGAGTTATTAAACGTGAAGTTACATAATTATTAATACATTTAAAACACATAATATTAAAGTTGCACAGTGTACATTGTCCCCCACAATTAAATACTTAAACCACAATTTACAGTAAATGCCTGTATTATTTAGGTTTATCCATGCAGTCACAATGTGGCAAATAGCAAGTGGGCAAGTGTAGTGGGATGTAAAAGTATTGTGATTGCGTTTTTGAACACAAAAATATTTCAAAAAATATTTTCCCACCCAGACCTCTTAGGGGCTCCATCGTGGTACCAACTGGACAAAAATCCGCAAACGAAAAGGAGGTTGGAAAATGGATGGATGGATGGATGGAAGTCACAAATAATAATGCAATCCACAAATACACAGGACGTGATCCACAAATGTGCAAAATGTGTATAAATAAATGGTAGTTTTGTGGATATGATGTTACACAACACAAATTTAAAAGTACATGTTTGTGGATAGTTAAATATTTGTGGATCTTTGTGTATATTTGTTGATTGTCTTCTGCGGGTAACAGATAATAAGGTCCAATAAACAATTCCAAACAAGTGCCACTTTCCATGTAGTGGCGTGTAATTTTGCAAACAGTCATTCAGCGGGAAATAAACAATAGAGCATAATTTAACAATATAATGAATCATAATATAATATAATGATATAATATAAACGAAAGACGATTTTATTTCGTCATCCGATATACTGTATATCGTCCAATCGCACATGCCTACCTCAATTGATTTTGAACAGTTTAGTCAATGTTTTTGATTAACAGATCAAGAAATATTTTTAATGCTGCTTTGATGAACATTGCTCAAATAAAGCAAGCAATCTTTTATGAGTAGGACGTATCCCGACAAGGACACAACAACATGCTGGATATAGAGAGTTTAGTAAACATAGGGTGACATGAAGGCCCCGCATTGCTTTTCCCAGTTGACTTTATCCATAGACATGTCTGAGTAAGTGTCTCTGTGGATACATTTTTCTTGGACAAGCTGCACAAGCAAACATTAATCTGCCACCCAGCAAATGAAAGAAAATGAACTGTAACATATCATAGATAATCTGCTGACTGTGATCCTCTCCCTGTAACCTGTGAACGGCAGAAGGTGAAGCCATATTACAACAAGGGAATGCTTGTGACACCACAAAGTTAAGTCAGTGAAAGCCAGGACTGAAGGACGTAAGGACTGGAGTCACCATCAAAGAGTCTGGGTACTTTATCTAACAATTTGTAGTGCTCAAGCATAAAAATCAAGTACAAACCATCCATCCATTTTCTGAAACCGTATATACAAGTTACCTTTCCTAACACAAAAACAGTACCATATCCCTACCTATACCCAGCCCAAAACTGGTCAAAAGAACTACATAGTTATATTAAATCAACATTTGTTCTTCTGATTAAACATTAAATTCTCGGTTTTGTTCATAGTGATCAGCGGGTGTTGATGCCTCACATCGATAGTTTTTGTGAAACAAGTAACATACAGCAATGACCTTTTTGGTATTATTTACTTTTCAGTGTGCATGAGTTTTAAAGTACGTTAACAAAAAAGAACAGCTTACATCCTAACAATTCTAGCACTAAATGAAATACTTCAACACTCACGCAGTTTTAGAAGCTATCCTGCATATTCATTTGAAACACATATTTAAAACTGCCAGGTAACAGTATTACAGGATTCAAAGTGGAGTAAATGACAGGAACCCTGAGAATCACAAAGTTCTTGTTCCTCTGTTTCCCTCCTCTGTGTTTGATCCATTGTGATCAGTGGAGGACAATGCAACAGTCTCCTCATTGTCATGTGATCCCTACATAAGTGACAATATTAAGTTATACAATGACTATTGACTGATTTCTAATATTTAAGGTAGTGACCATGACAGTCTTATTACAAAAGTCTTGACATCCAGAAAAATAATGTTACCTGCTTTGTATTCAGTCCATTGGAATCAACAGGTGACAAGTCTTCCATCATGTGACTGTCAGGTGATGGCTGCAAAAATAAGAGTCTCAGTTGATAAATGTCATATTTTCATATTTCATATTTTCAGAATTTTCCAAGTTCCATTAAACAGCTAGTAGTGACTGAAGAGGTATCTCCCTTTCAATTTATAGAAGGATGTATGAAAGGGTCTGTAACTTTAATAAAAACCAAGATACAAGATAAAGTACTAAGGTACGAAAATCCATCCATCCATCCATTTTCCAACCCGCTTATCCTACTGGGTCGCGGGGGGTCTGGAGTCACGAGGCGGGGAACAACCCTGGATGGGGGGCCAGCCCATCGCAGGGTATGAAAATCAAACAGTATTTTGTACAGATTTTATGAACTGAACTTTTTCTGCTATTTCCCCACCTAATCCCAGTCCAAGATGGATTAAATACCAGTATAGCTATATGAAATAAATATATGCTTTCCCGATTAAAAATATAGCCTGTAAGTTTTTTTTTTTTTGCAAAATACCTGCTACTGCACATTTATCTGTTTTGATTCATTATAATCAGCATTTGACAAGACTTTCATCTTCTGATTTTGATATAATCTCTGCAAAAGAGATAAATTTCAGATTTACGTTCCTCACACCCAGTATAGTGACCATGCACTGGGATTTACCTTTCAGGTTATGTGACTAATTTTTATGTACTTAAACACTTGTAAAATATTATAGCATCCGACAGGACACAGTTGAGGAAATAAATTGATAAATAGCGTTCCTAAATTGGATTGGATATGTAAATATTATTTTTAAAAATGCTCCCCCATATCAGCTCCATCACACCACCACTGGAAACCCCTGAGTGCTCAGGTAGGTCAAACTGACTAGGTAGCGTCCACTTTGGGTCGTTGCAGATGACCTGGCGAGCCTCCTTGGGTGTCAGATAACGACACTGAGGACCTGGCGCAGCGGGCCTACACGCACATGCCCGCCGGTACTGAGCGACCTGCCAAGGCCCTGCTCATCAGGGCTCTCTCCCCTAAGCAGCTGGTCCATGTTCATGTTCATGTTGACACTCCAGTGCAGATGCCCTTTGGCGCCATCCTTGTGCTGGTCCCAGGGAGAGGTTCTGACCTGCCCTGAGCTGCAGGCTGTCACTGTGTCTGTCATGACACCAGTGCTACAGGGGGTGGGGGCCCAGCGGAGGCCTCCGTGGGAGGAAGGGCAGCATCCTCCCAGGAGACCAAGGGGCTGCTGTCCAAATTCGAGACCCTGCAAGCGGTCGTGCTCCAGGTTCTGCAAGTGGCTACAGGGTCTGGCCACTTCACGGTCTACTGGGGAGGCCATTCGGCCCATCAAGCTCGTTTGGGGAGAACTTAACTAATAGCTTAGAGTTGTTAAAATCTTATCTAGCTCTGAACCTGGGGGGTCGTTACAGATGGCCAGGTGAGCCATTTTGAGCATCAGTTAATGAGACTGAGGACCTGGAGTGGCAGGTCTACATGCACATGCCCCCCGACATGCAGAGTGAGCTGCTAAGGACCAGCTCATCAGGGCTCTTTCTCCTAAGCAGCTGGTCCATGTTCAGCCAGAGCAGCCGCACCCCCTGCAGGAAGCCCTGGTGCTGGTGGTGGAGAGAGAGATGATGTGGGGAAGTTGGCAGGGTCCTCCCCAGAGAGGACGCACCTGCTGCACGGGCCATGTGCCGCAACAGCTCAGAGCGTGGGGGACCGTGAACTTGGAGAATGTATTGACATGTTAGAACATAAGAACATAAGAAATTTACAAACGAGAGGAGGCCATTCGGCCCATCAAGCTCGTTTGGGGAGAACTTAACTAATAACTCAGAGTTGTTAAAATCTTATCTAGCTCTGATTTAAAGGAA